CAAAAAGTCTTCCCGTCCATTAATTTTTCCTATAGGGGATTTTAGAAACACTTAAAATAAGGGCTATGTTTCGTGTAGGCTTACCCTGGTGTGGCATTTTGATAACTGTGTAAATCTCTCTAGGACAAGGTGTATTTACCCCCCAAAAAATTAAATGCTAATTATGTGGCTATCATAAAGAACTACAAATGCCATGATGTTCTGGACGAGACTGCCGACTCGAGGAATCTCTGGAATAACTATCTAATGTTAGCTAAATGTAGTAATGAATAAATAGGATACACTTCTTTAAATTGACTGAATTCTGTGAACTGTCTTGTGCAAGTTTTAAATTGACACATTACCTGTTAGCAAAGGTATCAGCTAGAGATGAGGTGCAGGGATGTGTCGTTTTGCATGATGTCTACTTTGATGCTAATTAGATTATTTATTTTTTATCTGAAAGTAAATGGAGCCGAATATATTGATAAAAGACACATTGTCCGAGAGAGATTAACTTGGTTATCAAAACGTCACGCCAGGGAGAGCCTACACGAAACACAGCCCTTATTTTAAGTGTTTCAAAAATGGTGAAAAACGATTGGAACCATTTCCCTGTTTGACCGCTAGGTTTTATGGCCATTGTCTAAACGTTATGGTACTTGGTTTGTCCTTGAGAAGACTCTTGTGTGTTGGAGATGTTGGAGTAGAACTAGTGTGAAAGTAGAAATAGTATGATTATTGGTACTGTCATTGCTTGAATAAGACAATGCAATGATGGTGACGACATGGTGATGAGTAAAATATTATTGTCGTAAGAGAAGTAGTCCATTGCTGTCATCTGCTGGCCAAGTTTGGGTGGTTATCAGTGATTGTTTACCAAAGTATCCAACACATTAGGAACACCTGTTCTTTCCATGACGACCAGGTGAATTCAGGTGAAAGCTATGTGACCCCTTATTGATGTCACTTGTTAAATCCACTTCAATCAGTGTAGATGAAGAGGAGGAGACAGGTTAAAGAATCATTTTAAAGCCTTGAGACAATTGAGAAATGTATTGTGTATGTGTGCCATTCAGAGGGTGAATGGGCAAGACAAAATATGTAAGTGCCTTTGAACAGGGTATGACGGTAGGTGCCAGGCGCACCGGTTTGAGTGTGTCAAGAACTGCAACGCTGCTGCCGTTTTCCCACTCAACAGTTTCCCTTGTGTATCAAGAATGGTCCACCACCCAAAGGACATCCACCCAACTTGACACAACTGTGGAAAGCATTGGCGTCAACATGGGCCAGCATCCCTGTGGAATATCGAGTCCATGCCCCGATGAATTGAGGCTGTTCAGAGGGCAAAGGAGGTGTTCCTAATGTTTTGTACACTCAGTGTATGTTCCTCTTATTATTTGGAAATATTTCCAAATTCATATCTGATTATATAAAATGACCAAAATGCAGTCCCAAATCACAGACTTGTATTACCTTTCAGTAAGACCCTATTTAGCATTAGATAACATACATTGTTTCCCTGTCATAAAATCAACTGATGCCTTGAAGTAAAAAGGCCTATTCCATTCCTGAGTTACACCAGAGGTGGACCCCCTCACAGAGAGACAGTGCATGCCTTTGCGTGACTTGAGTAACACTACCCTGGCCTCACTCAGATTAGGACCCTCTCATGGGGCCAAGACTCGTGTCACTAATAAAGGGACATGATAGAGCGTTACATTCCAGGAAGAAGAGTAATGAACCTCTGGAGCAGAGCCAGCCAGACAGCACAAAAGTGCCTCACATAAAAAGCCTGTGTTGTGGAACACATCCCGGCTTGTCTGAGCACTTCATTTGCTCCCAGAAAACGTGTTGCAGGGTTTACCATCTGCTGGTGACTGATCGAGATTACACGAAGAGAGGCCATGAGTCTCGGTCTTGTGGCTGACTACTGTGTGTACTGGGCCAAATAGGATAGTCTTTTCTGTTTACATGCTGTCTGGTTCCTGGAAAAACCTTAAATCAAATACGACCCCGCCAAGCCGCACTGCTTCTTGACACACTGCTCGCTTAACCCGGAAGCAAGGTGCACCAATCTGTCGGAGAAAATACCGTACAGCTGGCGACCGAAGTCAGCGTGCATGCACCGGGCCCGCAAGGAGTCGCGAGATTGCGATGGGACAAGGACATACCAGCCGGCCATACCCTCCCCTAACCCGGACGACGCTGGGCCAATTGTGCGCCGCCTCATGGGTCTCCCGGTAGCGGCCGGCTGCGACACAGCCCGGGATCGAACCTGGGTCTGAAGTGACACCTCTAGCACCTTAGACCGCTGCGCCACTCGGGAGGCCCGTATTCTCTTTTTGTATTTAAAAAAAGTTACACTTTTTGGAGATAATAGGTTTTTCCAGGACACCAACAATGCTGTTTATGATATATGAGAAAACGTGTGCTAGGTCTTAGTTGAGAGATGAGAGTTCTATTTGCTGCATGGAATGTGTATTATACTGTTATTGATGACTATTTTTAAAGCCTTTTTAAGCCTCTACATTTTCCTTCATATTCTTTATTAGGCCTATGCATAATTTTGTAAAATAATGTTTTTCTATCCCTTTCACAATCATAAATTGGAAATATACTTATTTTCATTTTTCTAGAGAGAAAAGGGAAATGAGTGGAAGTGCCTGAAAAACAAACGAGAAAGGACAGGGACAGGAAATATGGTGTTGAAAAAAATAGCTCTTCCCTTTCCTCCTTTCTGGCTTCCTGTTAGGGGCCAATGCTTTGCACATTCCTCTGAGCCCATGAAGTCACTGCGATCAAATCTCCTCACTAGCAATTCAATCTGAGCCTGTTTTCACCAATCCTTGATCAGCACTCCTACTCTAAGAAGCTTTATGAATGCAGGCCCTGGACTTTTCCATTTCTGATAGTTACAGTCAAAACACTAACTGAAAACGGTTCACTATAGGGTGAATTAAGGTTTCCAGGTTTAACATACCTGGCAACCCTCTGCTGTTTGTTGCCAAGTTAGCTAACCCCTTCCCATGTCGCCTAGGCCACAGCATATAACCAACTGTGTTATTATGGTCTGAGTCTGAAGTGACTGATGTTGGCTTTCTGAGACTACCAGATTAGCATCAGCATTCAATCCTATCTCAGATCTGCTCTAGCATAAAACAGGATGTTTTACTGACTATGTGTAAATTATGTGGATACAGATTTCAGGGCCATTGTTATCTGGTTATATTGGTCATCACATATTAACCTCACAATAAAACGGCTCACCACTTGTTCTTGTATTGTCTGGAGTTTGCTGCCTGGAACACTTGGACATTTCCCAAAGTCTCACAAAAGTTTTCCATGTAGTAGCTACAATGGATATTTGCTGGGCAATCTACAAAGAAAAATGATTGCAAAGTACTGGCTAAATTAGCAGTACTTAGAATTTCCTAATTTCCTCAAGTGAAAGAACACAATCTTCTCCTCAGACTAATGCTTGACCTTTACATAATAAACTACACATTTTTCTCTCAAATGTTTTATTTCTTATTTCCCACCCTGGTTGTCAGATATTCCATTAAAGTAATGTGTGTGTGTGTGTGTGTGTGTGTGTGTGTGTGTGTGTGTGTGTGTGTGTGTGTGTGTGTGCGTGCGCACGTGCGTGGGCGCGTGTGTATGTGTGTGAAATAGAAAACATTTGCTATACAGTTGTACAATCCCATGTACATTTCTCTTGCTCAGTATAGCATACCACACAAATACGTCTATTCATTCCATTAGTCTCTTTTCCATTCTTATCAAATAAATGTGACTTTGATTATTGTGTAAGTGAAGCATGGAGAAGCCTAATTTCATTATGCCTTTATATGAGTGCAAAAAAACATAGCAAGATACGACAAGCATTCCTCCTTTAAACTTTTATCTTCGATGGACTTACTCAAAATCCTGAGCCATTCGCAGTAAAATGGGTTTAAAAAACGCTTTACCGGATCCTGCAAAAACACTTCGACCTAATTCTGATTGGACCATACACTCTCTCAGGCTTTGACGGGCGGCCACGGATTTGCTCGAATTTACGCGAACGCTTTAGTGAAGATGAAGAAATGGATTTTATTAAACTGCTCGGGACGGTTCTCGCCGTTTGCTGCCACCCAGGATTCACCCAATTTGAACTCAATGGTGAGTGTTTACAGGGAAAGAATGTCAAACTTGTCAAAGCACGTTGTCAAAAGGTAACGGTATGATTAACCAAAGTTTATCTAATGCATGGCAATATTGCGGTCTGTTGATTGTGCGAAAAAAAATCGTATTATGTAGTGCCCAACGAAAGAAGAAAGATTTTGGAACGTTAACATTCTAAAATAGAAACTTCAAATGTCACCCAAATTCGAGTGCTTTTGTAAGCTAGATGGCAAAAACAGTCACTGCAATAATTATCTTCAATAGGTCTATACATTGCCCAGAGCAGGCTTTTTGTTTTGGTTTGTGTGTCGGGAACCTATGATTCGTTTTGAGATGGGCCATTGTGCTCAGAAGTAGGTTACAGATTTAGAAGACCAAGGTGGTATGTAATAGCCCAAATGTGGTGCAAAAATCAAGGTGCAAAATCAAGGTGGGCCATATTACTTTAAAGCTTATTCACTGTGGTTTGCAACATTATTAATAAAGGCCCCAATAATAAAGAAAATAAGCCTGTAATAATAAATAAATAATAACATAGAGCCTATTCATAATGTTACATGCAATCACTTACGAAAAACAATAAAACATTTCTTAAGCTTATGGCAATAGGCCTATATAAAATCAAGAGATCTTGCACATAGGCCTATTATCATGTCATTCATGTAGGCTAATATGTGTGCCATATGTCCTCACAGCTTACATAACAACTTGCAATGTTATTCCACTTAATTACCATTCTGATTTGACATTATTTATTACCCATGTTTAGATTAGCAATTTTGCAATTGAATTTGCAATTTGATTTGCATTCTTGATTTGCAATTTCTTGTTTTCCAATGCGATGCACTGTAGGCCAGAGGATCTGCCGGCGTGGCACAGAGCGACCCTGCTACAGGATCAACTACTTCCAGGACCCACAGCGGAGGGTGACCTTCGATGATGCCAGGCAGGCCTGCAGGACAGATGGGGGAGAGCTCCTCAGTATCGACACTGACAATGAGCAGCGCCTGGTCGAGAGGTTCATCCAGCAGTTGCAGGCCACTGATGGGGACTTCTGGATCGGGCTGCACAGAAGCCCACGCCACCGGGTGACTACTATGGGCTGCCCTTCGCAGTACTACTGGCTGGATGGCAGCAAGGCCAGATTCAGGTGTTCTTGTGTTTTACTTTGAATGTTGTGGTATTGGCAGTGTTGGGGAAGCTAATATGAAAATATAGTTTACCAAGCTACCAATTACTTCACACTGAATGAAGTTAAGCTACACTAAAGCTACCCTTAAAAAATATAGTTGACTTAACTAAAGTTACTTTGAAAAGGTAGTTCACTTCATCCAAACTACTTTGTGAAAAATTATCATATGTAAATCTGAAATGTCATAGACGACAAATTGCAAGAACAGATCACTGTATTCAGATGTTAACAGAATGTGTCATTTAACCTATTAATCACAAAATAAAATGTTCCAAGTGAGAATTACGCAGGCCTGATGCCGAAAAAGAAAGGAAATGATTACGTAGTTCCAGTAGCTAGCTACATCGCTACATGGCAAAAAAGTCATTAACTACTGAAAACACTAACTTCATTTGAATTTAGTTCAACTACCACCAAGCTACTGCAAAATGTAGTTAAATTACCAGTTGAACTACATGTAGTTCACTACTCCCCAACACTGGGTATCAGTAGGATGAGAGTGCATTTTCAGAGGCATGCTGTTGACTATCAGAGGATCTCTGATAAGGTTGTTGACCTATGGAAAAATGCTTGTTGCAGAAACTGGCATTGGGACGAGCCATCATGTGGCAACGAGATGTGTGTGGTGCTGTATCACCAGCCTTCTGCCCCCCCTGACGAAGGGGGGCGCTTCATGTTCCAGTGGAACGATGACAACTGCAACACCAAGAACAATTTCGTCTGCAAGTACTCCGAAGGTGAACTGTACCCTGGACACGTTCTGAGTAGCCAAACGTTGTGGAACATTGCAGATAGAAATGTCATGAATAGAGCTGACATGATTCTACATGTCAGAGAGTTATGTTTGTTCTACATCATGTTTTTCTATCTGAACGTTCCACAACATTGTGCCCTGCTGAACATAGCCCCGGTGTCCTTGATAGTGTCCATATTTAGACATGAACAGATTCAAAGGGTTGTATTCAAAGGACAGCAAATGGAAGGAAAGGGACCGAAACAGGGAGGGACTACCTGAATTTGTCCAATAAGAATCTCTCGTTTTCGTTGACGAAACTTTTTGTTATGGATTGCAAAAGTGTGCACTAATGAATACGACGGTGTTACATTACATTTATCCTATCTCAATCCTGTAGTTTATCTCCGCTGAAGGAGATAATATTGTATGGTATGATTTTTATTGAATACCAGCTTATCAACAAGGAACCATAGAAAATATCCTTCACAGTCAATATAGTCCATATTCATTTGCAGCTGATGATTGTCACTTTCTCTCTCTTACAGAAAAGTTACCCATGTTTACTGTGGTGTGGAATTCAATATACACAGGTAAACCCACCACTGCAACTAACATTTAGATTTTTTAAGGTCAAATATGTGAATCCTTGAGATGAGTGATTTGTTGATACTGAGATCAACAGCTTGAACATTGTAATGACATCACCATTCTCAATCTCCGAAGTGTCTATGTATAGGATGACATCTAGTGGTCAAGATTAATGAATCACAATATAATACACTGCTCAAAAAAATAAAGGGAACACTTAAACAACACAATGTAACTCCAAGTCAGTCACACTTCTGTGAAATCAAACTGTCCACTTAGGAAGCAACACTGATTGACAATAAATTTCACATGCTGTTGTGCAAATGGAATAGACAACAGGTGGAAATTATAGGCAATTAGCAAGACACCCCCAATAAAGAAGTGGTTCTGCAGGTGGTGACCACAGACCACTTCTCAGTTCCTATGCTTCCTGGCTGATGTTTTGGTCACTTTTGAATGCTGGCGGTGCTTTCACTCTAGTGGTAGCATGAGACGGAGTCTACAACCCACACAAGTGGCTCAGGTAGTGCAGCTCATCCAGGATGGCACATCAATGCGAGCTGTAGCAAGAAGGTTTGCTGTGTCTGTCAGCGTAGTGTCCAGAGCATGGAGGCGCTACCAGGAGACAGGCCAGTACATCAGGAGACGTGGAGGAGGCCGTAGGAGGGCAACAACCCAGCAGCAGGACCGCTACCTCTGCCTTTGTGCAAGGAGGAGCAGGAGGAGCACTGCCAGAGCCCTGCAAAATGACCTCCAGCAGGCCACAAATGTGCATGTGTCTGCTCAAACGGTCAGAAACAGACTCCATGAGGGTGGTATGAGGGCCCGACGTCCACAGGTGGGGGTTGTGCTTACAGCCCAACACCGTGCAGGACGTTTGGCATTTGCCAGAGAACACCAAATTCGCCACTGGCGCCCTGTGCTCTTCACAGATTAAAGCTGGTTCACACTGAGCACATGTGACAGACGTGACAGAGTCTGGAGACGCCGTGGAGAACGTTCTGCTGCCTGCAACATCCTCCAGCATGACCGGTTTGGCGTGGGTCAGTCATGGTGTGGGGTGGCATTTCTTTGGGGGGGCCGCACAGCCCTCCATGTGCTCGCCAGAGGTAGCCTGACTGCCATTAGGTACCGAGATGAGATCCTCAGACCCCTTGTGAGACCATATGCTGGTGCGGTTGGCCCTGGGTTCCTCCTAATGCAAGACAATGCTAGACCTCATGTGGCTGGAGTGTGTCAGCAGTTCCTGCAAGAGGAAGGCATTGATGCTATGGACTGGCCCGCCCGTTCCCCAGACCTTAATCCAATTGAGCACATCTGGGACATCATGTCTCGCTCCATCCACCAACGCCACGTTGCACCACAGACTGTCCAGGAGTTGGCGGATGCTTTAGTCCAGGTCTGGGAGGAGATCCCTCAGGATACCATCCGCCACCTCATCAGGAGCATGCCCAGGCGTTGTAGGGAGGTCATACAAGCACGTGGAGGCCATACACACTACTGAGCCTCATTTTGACTTGTTGGATCAGCCTGTAAAGAAAAAAATATTTAATAATTTTATTTCATTCATTCAGATCTAGGATGTGTTGTTTAAGTGTTCCCTTTATTTTTTTGAGCAGTGTATAATAGGAGAGAATAGAATAGAATATAAAAACTTTATCAGTGTCATTGAATCAATCCTCTTCTCAGATTGTCACGATCGTCGGGAACAGAGGACCAAGGCGCAGCGTGGAATGCGAACATATTTATTAAATAATGATAACACGATCAAAACAACAATCGATAACGTGACGTCCTCGGTCTAACACAAACCACACTGGAACAAGATCCCACAAACACTGTGGGAAAACTGGCTGCTTAAGTATGGTTCCCAATCAGAGACAACAAGCAACAGCTGATACACGTTGCCTCTGATTGAGAACCACACTGGCCAACATAGAAATACAAAACTAGAATAAATGAAAACTCACACCCTGGCTCAACATACTAGAGTCCCCAGAGCCAGGGCGTGACAGTACCCCCCCCCCAAAGGCGCGGACTCCGGCCGCGCCAACCAAACACCACAGGGGAGGGACCGGGTGGGCACTCCGCCTTGGCGGCGGATCCGGCTCCGGACATGATTCCCACTCCAACCCCCCAAAGTACCCCTGGTCCGGTCTGACCCTGCTGGCCGGAGCTGGACTGAACACCGGTGGAGCGGATTGCTCTAGCTCCGGCGTGGAGCAGCTGACCGGTGCCGGACCAGGCACCGGTGGAACAGGCACGGGCTGTGCCGGACTGACGACGCACACCACTGGCTTGGTGTGGGGAGCAGGAACAGGCCGAACCGGGCTGACGATGCGCACCATAGGCTTGGTGCGTGGAGCAGGAACAGGCCGGGCCGGGCTGACGATGCGCACCATAGGCTTGGTGCGTGGAGCAGGAACAGGCCGGGCCGGGCTGACGACACGCACCACAGGCTCGATGCGAGGAACAGGAACAGGCCGGACCGTACTGGGGACACACACCACTGGCCCTACGCAGGGATCAGGAACGGGCCGGACCGGACTGGTAACACACCCCAGTACCTCTCGCCGTGCCTCTACACTTTCCCTCTCCTCTGTGACCAGTGGCCCCCTTAACCTGGCGGCCTCCTCTGCAAACCCGCTGGACCGCTCTATCGCGGCCTCCTGCTGCCCCGTCGTCCACGGCGTGAGCCCCCCCCCTAAAAAAATTCTGGGGGTCTCTCCTCCCCGTGGGCCAGGCCCAGCCGAGGTTGATGTCCTTTAGCGATACCTCTGGCACTGGCTCCTGGACACGCTGCTTGGTCCAGTGTTGGTGGGATCTTCTGTCACAATCGTCGGGAACAGAGGACCAAGGCGCAGCGTGGAATGCGAACATATTTATTAAATAATGATGATGATAACACGAACAAAACAACAAACGATAACGTGACGTCCTCGGTCTAACACAAACCACACTGGAACAAGATCCCACAAACACTGTGGGAAAACTGGCTGCTTAAGTATGGTTCCCAATCAGAGACAACAAGCAACAGCTGATACACGTTGCCTCTGATTGAGAACCACACTGGCCAACATAGAAATACAAAACTAGAACAAAAACAAATGAAAACTCACACCCTGGCTCAACATACTAGAGTCCCCAGAGCCAGGGCGTGACACAGATAATAGAGGCTATGCATGACAAATACAGTAGGCTATAGTACAGTTACAGATTACCATTGACACTGCTTGAAATTGTTGCTCTGATTGAGTTTATTCCTAGGGAGTTTATTTATAGTAGGCTGCTAATTTGCATATTAGTCATACTGTACTCCTCTACACATTGCTGCATCACACATGCTCAATCCTTCATCTTTGATGAAGACAAATGTTGCTTATTTTTGGTCTGCATATTTATTTGGTCAATATTACATTTTTGGATATCAATCGAACTTACAGTGTCTGTCTATTTAAAAGTTTTGTTCATTATCTATTTTCCAGTTGCCCCAATTATATCTCTCATGCCAAACCTACCATCAGCTACAGTGAGTGATGAGAAGACAAAAATTGGACTATCTGAATCATCAGGTAAAAAATCTGCACTCTTCATGTCTATCGAGTTTGATCCTAGGTTATGAAATATTGTGCATTGTGTCACAAATGCAATAAATAATCTCATTTCTTTTTTCTTTTTTTATTCTCCAAAAGGTATTCATAGTGAGGTGCCAACTTACTGCCATTAGCCTGGTCCCAGATCTGTTTGTGCTATCATGTCAGCTCCTTTTCATTGACAATGAGTGACAAGGAGTTGACATGATAGCACAAACAGATCTGGGACCAGGTTATAATGCCATTGTCTTACCTCTGTTGTTATCTTTCAGATAACGCCCTGTATGTCTCCTACATTCTATTTGCTACTGTCCCTATTCTACTGCTGCTGCTTGTGGCTACAGGAGTCTTCTGCTATAAACTGGCTGCCAAAAGGTAATAATTGTTCGCTTCATTAAATAATAACAGGTAATAATACATTGTGTACGATTGGCACCTTTCAAGGTCACCTAACATTATTTAAAAGTATCTATAAGTTAAAAAATGACAGAGAAAAGAGGGGCAAAACAGAGGAAGCTCGCAAGAGGGCTTACGAAAAATAATCAACATCAGACATCACAGAGCATAAGATAGCCTTAAGATATATTTTGTTTTGAGGTGGGTTTCAATGCCGTATTTGAAGTAGGCAATGCTGGAGGTGTTTGTGGCTCACTACATGCCTCTGTAACTGATAGTGTAACTGTCTTTATGCAGGAGAAAGTCTCAGACAGACAGCTACCCTAAGCAAGAGCAATGGGGTACAATGTCCACTGCGGCCTGCAACATCCAAGGACCCTATGCCTACCAGGACATCACCAAGCTTCAACCAGCCGATCTGGAGAGCATGGCACCTGAAACAATCAAGAAGATGTCCTTCTGTGCCTCCTCTTTTGATTCCCAGTGTGATGATTACGAGAATGTTTCAAACAAGGAGACAGTGACAGAGAGTGGCTTTGTGACCAATGACATCTATGAGGCCTGCCAGGACCAGGGTCGGCACTATCTCAACGAGACTGGATGGGTGGAGAATGAGATATATGAGTAATGTTGCAGTCCTGCAGTGCCTCTCTCTTTACCACATGTCCACTGGGCCATCTGGGCATCTGACTGTTGTTGTCTCCATTCATCTTTCATATATCCTGCTGGTGGGTTGTATGGCATCATGTGATGCGAGACAGGATGGACAGATCCTGTGTAGTATTCAAAAGTGTTTGCTTTAGGGTACGCCCACTAACCGTACAAAAAAGCCCATGGTGTCACCCCCATTTGAGGCTTCCTGTGTGGAAGCTGATGTCAGGGAACAGGACAATATCTTCGGAAACTCGGATGACAGAAGTCTGACCCCACGATACCTCTGAGCAATGGTCTCGCCCGCCTGTGAGAGATGATCCTCCCAATGATGTTTACCAAAGCCTCCACTGTTATGACACCAGTTTGAGCTGGCTGGATATAGTCTTTAATGTGCCTTTTCATGACTACACCAAAGTCCTGGTTGGATAACAGAGTGTAGCATTTGTTTATTTGCCTATTCCTGTGTCTTCGTCTTATAAACTTGTATGTATCACAATGTTGTGAAGAAAATCAAGAAAATACATATTTTGCGTACATGGTAGATTCAAGTGGGCCTGACTAGAGTGTTGTGAAAAAGTAGTCTAACGAGCTAAAGCTGAGTGTTCTTGGAGGATGTCGGACAGGAAATGCCAAAAGCACATCTGGAACTCGCACATCCAGGAAGTGTAAGTCTGTCACGATAGGTTAATTAACAAAACATGTACTTGCTGGACCTGTAGGCCTATATGGGTAATATTTCAAATATTGCGCACCGCTCTGGCTACAAATAAATGTGTTTTTATTTTATTTTTAAATAATAATGTACCTTTATTGTATTTTTGTGTACAAGAAGACAGAAAAATTGACAATTTCTATAAGTCGTAAAACCTTTGGTAAGATATAGCTTACTTTACTGTACTATTGCAAACAGTACTTACTTATGGCTTCCATATTGTTTGTTTGACCAGCAGATGGTGTTGTTTCATGTCATATTTTAACTGTCTTTCCATTGGTCTCGAACTCCAGCAGCTTCACTAAAATGCTATGTTGATCGCTAGATGTGCAATGGGTATGTTTAAAAAAAGGATAATAATGTGCTAATATTCTGTCATATTATTGTATTATTCTCAAACCAATTGATTTGCCATTATAACCTGTATACTGAACAAAAATATACTGAACAAAAATATAAACGCTACATGCAACAATTTCAACGATTTTACTGAGTTACAGTTCATACAGTATAAGGAAATCAGTCAATTGAAATAAATTCACTAGGCCCAAATCTATGGATTTCACATGAGTGTGTAGGAGCGCAGCCATGGATGGGCCTGGGAGGGCATAGGCCCAGCCAATCAGAATTAGTTTTTCCCACAAAAGGGCTTTATTACAGACAGAAATACTCCTCAGTTTCATCAGCTGTCCGCGTGGTTGGTCTCAGACGATCCCACAGGTGAAGAAGCAGGATGCGGAGGCCCTGGGCTGGGGTGGTTACACATGGTCTGCGGTTGTGAGGCCGGTTGGAAGTACTGCCAAATTCTCTAAAATGACGATGGAGGCGGCTTATGGTAGAGAAATTAACATTCAATTCTCTGGCAACAGCTCTGGTGGACATTCCTGCGGTCAGCATGCCAATTGCACACTCCCACAAAACTTGAGACATCTGTGGCATTGTGTTGTGTGACAAAACTGCACATTATAGAGTGGCTTTTTATTGTCCCCAGCACAAGCTGCACCTGTGTAATGTTCATGCTGTTTAATCAGCTTCTTGATATGCCACTCCTGTCAGGTGGATGGATTATCTTGGCAAAGGAGAAATGCTCACTAACAGGGATGTAAACAAATTTGTGCACAAAATTTGCGAGAAATACGCTTTTGTGCGTATGGAACATTTCTGGGATCTTTTATTTCAGCTGATGAAACATGGGACCAACACTTTACATGTTGTGTTTATATTTTTGTTCAGTGACAAACCTGAATTGCAGAACACACACCATCCATTATAATCCAAATTAATGTTTGCCGTTTTGTGCATAGCTGGGAAACCTGGCAAGCATCTCACACTGTGTTCTCAAAATGTATGTTCTCAAAATGTATGATTATTTTACCACAGGCTTAAAGGGCAATTGCAACCAACAAAAAGTATAATAAAATGTATTAGTGGTTGCATCACTTGCATGCATCATTTGCCTTGTGCATAGACATGCATATGTTCCATAGTCAGAGCCCAGCTGCACACACACCTTTACATATCAAAACAACATGCATGTATTTAGTAATTTGCTAGTATAAATGTACATAAATAATTCACCAGTCCAATCCATGCATTTGACTCAGAGTAACAAAAGCTTTTTCTGTGCCCCTGCAGGCCAAACTTCAAAGTCAACTATCCACTCTGGGCGGCGAGCAAAGAGATTTCAGAATAGCAATGTTACCGGTTGACGTAAGAGGTGGATCCGGTTGCCTTGGAAACGAATTGGCACTGAAGCGTGAAACCGCTTCAGAGGCCCGCCCCTGTACAAATACCCCCATGGCTCTGACGTCAATGTACGTCAAGGAGAGAATATGATGCCTCCTGCAAGTCAACTCGTGTACTTTAGCTAATAGAGGTGGCTTGCTGAAATATTATAGCTCTATTGTATTGGAGAACGTGGCGTGACAGCCCGTGGCAGTCGTAAATGTCCTCTGTCGTCTCGTTGGTCTGAACTCTGAAGGGTCGTTAACGTTCAAACTGGCTGGGTGACCAAGAATTGTACTTTGTCTATTTTTAATAGACACATTTTAGCGGGCGGTTTGTTTTCCCTTACTCGTCATCTCTAGGCTCAAGTCGCGAGCCCCTACGTCCTAACCCCAAACCCCATTTAATACAGCATGGTCATGGCTGACAATCACCAAAAACCGATGGTTCGGGGTCCTGTCCGAGTGGGCTTCTACGATATCGAACGTACTCTAGGAAAGGGTAATTTCGCCGTTGTGAAGCTGGCTAGACATCGCATTACCAAGACCGAGGTGAGTGCTGAGAAAACAGCTAGCTGCCTGGCTAGCATGCTAGGTAACGGTGAGTGAGCTAAGCGTGTGATTCTCTTGCAAAGGGAAATAACCTTGTCTTTTAACTAACAAGCTAGTTACTTGCCACCTGTATTGCAGTTGTAAGTCAGCTAGTTATCTAAAGTTATATTTGCACATTTATTATGTAGTTAACTCATTCTGTTCACATTTGACATTGACATGTTTAGACCATTTCACACCTACCTAGTTTGCTATGTTGCAAACACAGTAGTCTCTTTTTTTGCTAAACTTTTGACTCTTACATGAAGAAAGTTATAGACTAGTAACAACTTATGTAACTTCATAATCAAAACTGTCTGACTATGGTTATTAAAGTTGGGTGTCACCCAGTTTTAAATGTAGTTAACGTTAGTCTAACCGTGAAGCAGATTCATTCATGTGTGTTCATGCCAAGAGAGTCACATCATTATCCAATCACTTTGTGACCTCAATGTTGTGCAATACACTGCCTTTCTTTGACCATGGATCAATACGTTGCTTCATTACTCTGTCTAACAATTGTGTGCAGTTTGTATAATGTGGTCAACATGCCACCCCACAGTCCTGCCCCCACGTTTTGGTTTTTGCTCTACTAGCACTACACAGCTGATTCAAATAACCAACATCATCAAACTTTGATTATTTGAATCAGCTGTGTAGTGTTAGGGTAAAAATCAAAACATGCACCCGGTGGGACCCGAGGACCGAGTTTGGGAAATCCTGCATAGACTGGTGTAAACAACCATGGTGTTAACAACCATGTAAATATCTAGGGCATGCAGCATGGGTTAATGCATTGGTTACATAACCCAATAATAATAATGTGATTTTATTGCCTCTTCTTGGGACAATCACTGTGGAGCTGTTGTGTACATACCCTATTCACAGACGCTAATAGCCCTTAATCATGACTCTCATTTCCATTACATTACACATAAGTAATTGGACGAAGGCGTCTTCTGTACGGGGGAGTTTTGTTAAGAGCGCTGACACTCAATCTGAACATTAACAAGTGTAAGGACCTTATCTTTCATATCAGCGATAAATAATTTTCTAAAAAAAACAAAAGGTTAAATTGATACACACCTTGTTAGGGTTAGTGTTCCCACACGGCCGTATCTCCATGTTACAGCGCGTGTTTACGGAAGACGAGGCGACCGCCTGTGCTAATTAGCTACTGTATCTAGCGTACTCCGAACACCTGTGTGCAAGCGTAATTCGGGACGTGTAGCAGAAGTGACGTTTCGTCGGATCGAGGCACTCATAGCTGTATGGATCTGTGCAAAACTGCTTCAGTAAGTGTATCTTTTTGATTTGAAGGATTCTTTCTCGCTGATTAAAGATAAGGGCCATAAGTTTCGAAAGATGTATTGCAAGCAATGATTATTGACGTTTGTAAATGTTAAAACACAGCGTCGGGATTGTAGTTCACATGAGCCAGTCGTGGGCGACGCGAATGTCTGAGCTGTACGGAGAAGACAGAATGCCTCCTAGAGTTTTCGAGAGCTAAGACGCTAACTGCTTTAGCGCCTATTGACGATAGTGTCTTCTGAAGGGGGGAGTATTTTTTTCATTTTTTCGACGCTTGCGCTAAACTTTAACACGCATCACTTGCGGTACGGTTTTGGAAACATGAGTAACTTATCTTTTATATCAGGAATAAATTATTTTCAAAAAAGAAAAGGTTAAATAGGCGATATACACAGGCGAGCATGACGTATTTCCGGTTAAATCTCAGGATGGATGTAAACTTCCGGTTATCGTAGAATGCTGTGCTACCGTATGCTAGCATTGAATGCTTGTCGTCAAAAACATCCGAAACGGTTAATTTTCGTCGTTGTTGTTGTTTATCTTAATGTTTATGTTAATGTTTTTACTTGTAATACTTTGTCTTGACTTATAACACGATGACCTGTAAACGTACGAAAGTGTCCTTTCAAAAACGGGATGACAGCTCTTCCAGCCATCTTCTAGACATCTAACAGCGATTTAATAACATTTATTTCGCAACACATTGTAGTCTGCCTATTTAATTGGACTCTGCATACCTAATTCAGCTTGCCGGAGTAGCATCTGGTTTGGGCTTCACTACAACCATGGCATCCACAGGTCCTGGCTTCACTCCCTATTTATTTATGAGATGGTATAAGGAGAGATGCTAGTATGAATGTGACACAACTGTCTGGTATTGAAATGATACAAACCATTGTTTGTGGTTTATGCCACTTCTGCTCTGTTTCAGTGCACGAAAGTACAGGAGGGACGACAGACATGCCACATTCAGAGTAATGGGCAGTCTGATATAGTAATGCAACCAAATGATTGCATATCTCACACCCAGCCACACAGGAACAGTAGCTTTTAACAAGTACAACTGGCTGTGAATCACGCAATGTCATCTGAAATACACAGAAGCATAATTTAATGGGTTTTGAAAGACGAGGGTCTACAGCAGCAGGAGTAGGAGCAAAACTTGTTCTTTCTACTTTTTACTGGTGTAAGCAACTTATCTACTGTCTCATGTCACTTTTGTGC